TGGATTTTCCTGTACAATCTCCATCTCCCCAGTCTCGGTCTCCCGAGTAGCTAGGATTACAGGCATGAGCCACCAGAGCCCAAATCATTTTTATTTTCTTAACAGCATATTGAGTATATTTGTATTTGCTTAACAAAAGCTTCAAATATCTTAATATTTTCTGAATTTTCTATTATTAAACAAATATTCCTTTACAACATTATTGTTCATAAGCACAGGAGTATTTAAAAGGGTAGTAAACTTAACCAATTGCTTAGTTGAGTTTATATAATGCTCATATTTTTCTACCGTAAACAGCTCAACATTATCTATGTACCTAGATTCGCATGCATTTCCTTCCTTCCTTCCTTCCTTCCTTCCTTCCTTCCTTCCTTCCTTTCCTTCTTTCTTTCTTTCCTTCCTTCTTTCTTTCTTTCTTTCCTTCTTTCTTTCTTTCTTTCTTTCTTTCTTTCTTTCTTCCTTTCTTTCTTCCTTTCTTTCTTCCTTCCTTCCTTTCTTTCTTTCTTTCCTTCTTTCCTTCTTCCTTTCTTTCTTTCTTTCTTTCTTTCTTTCTTTCTTTCTTTCTTTCTTTCTTTCTTTCTTTCTTTCTTCCTTCCTTTCTTTCTTTCTTTCTTTCTTTCTTTCTTTCTTTCCTGAATATTCAAAGTAAATAACTAAAGCATTGATAAATCAATATATGACAATTCTTTTTACACTTTCAATTATGATGAAGCCTCAGCATACAGCTTATACTTCATTGTCTGCAAATACTTTGTATGAAGTAAGCTTTGCTAAAGATCTTACACAACTTCATAGATATTCTAAAGAAAACCCACTCTTACCCATACCACTGATTTCCATATTTGCATTAACTTGCCAACTTGCTTTTTATGAATGGATTTTCATAAGACTACCAGGGAAATGTAGACAGTCTTGCTTGCAAACATTTGCATGCATTTTCTTTGGGTTAAGTACTACTGGTAGAATTACTAAAACAAAAAATATGGGCCTTTCAAGGCTGTAGAAATGCACTGGAAAAAATTTCACCAATGCATTTAAGAATTCTCTTACTTTTAGCCATCAATGGCATTACCTATTATCTTTTTCATAGGTCTGTTCTCCTTACATGCTTTTATAAAAGTTCTTTATGGCTTGTTGAAAGTGGAGATATTTTTAGCTAATAGGGAAAATTATCGTTAATGATACAATGTATCAATGTCAAATTAGATTCTTACTTGAAGGAAAGCCATTCATTTAATAGTACTAGATAGCAGGATGATAGGTTCTTGATCTGTGTTTAGAAATACAAGGAAATCTTAGTTACAGATTGAAGAACAAAAGGGGGAAATGTGTTTAAGGGATTCAACTGTTTTGCTTTTGGCCAGCAGATATTTAATCTCACTTTCTGTCATGAAAAATAACCTTGGTTGTTCTCAAAAATGGCAGCATTTAAAGTCATGAGTTATTTGGTTTGGAGAAGAGACCAATTCTTTTTGGATTGTATTTTTAATAAGGTTAAAAGTAAAACATAAAATTTATAAAATTTCAGCATGGTGCATTTTCTTTGGTTAAAAGCCATAAGGTTGTTAAGCAAGTACTTTTCCTTAGTTCACAAAATAGAAAATGGAGAATACCTTGGTTGGCATGTAGGATGTTGCAGAGTTTGTATAAAATTCATATATATTTATAGCTGTGATACAAAGTTGTTTAAATAAATTTTGAACCCAGGAAAAAAAAAGTATTGCAGGACTAACATTTTTACTGTTCAATGAGACTTCAAAATAGAAGGATGAAGTTATCTGAATTCGTTTCTACATTTCTTCTTTTTCTGCACTTTCATTTCTATCTTTGCTTCCATTGAACAAGCCTATGTTCAATAGTTAAATCCCTTCGAATTATAACTATCTTTACAGCATTTCAGCTTGATTTTGCAAATGTCTAGTTCTTTTAGCGAAAATATCCAGCATCAATAGGCCCAGAGTATATGTTTCCTAGGGCTACTATGAAAAATCACTACAAAAAAAAATACCAGCAGAAATTATTTTCAGTCCTCCAGGCCAAGAGTTTGAATCCAACTTGAAATCTAGTATGCCATGAGGGCCATGTTTTCTCAGGGCTCTTGAGAAGAATCTGCTTCTGGCCTCTTCCACATTCTGCTGGCCACCAACACTCCTGGATTTGTACTCACATCACTCCATTCTGTCCCCATGATCACATTATTCTGCCCCTATGCAAACCCTCCCTGTCTTACTTTTCTAAAAACACAGGTGATTGTATTTAAAGTCCATAGGAATGATCCAGATTAATCTCCCTATCTCAAAATCTTTTTTTTTTTTTTTTGCCATTCCTGGGGCTTGAACTCAGGGCCTGGGTCTCGATACGGTCTCTCAGCTTCCAGCTTTTTCTGTTTATGTAGTACTAAGGAATCAAACCCAGGGCTTCATGCATAGTAGGCAAGCACTCTACCACTAAGCCAACCTTCCCAGTCTCAAAATCTGGAACTTAATTGAATCCACAACATTTTTCTTTCATAATACAAATTAGTATGTGAGCATCTGTGGAACAGCTTACATATCCATCCTTGATGTATTTGATTTTACATACAGCCCTCTATCCTCTGTGTACCAGAAAGCAAACCATGTGTCCAGCAACCAAAACTTTTTGGCCAAAATTTTGACTCAATGTAGTCCCAGGACTACGTTGGAGGCAGTGTTGACTCTACAGTCAATGCAGAACATCTACACGGGTGACAGATAAGTCTTGAAACCATCTTGTTGGTTTAGCAAGGGATGCTCTTTTTAATCCCCTACAGGCCTAGCAAAATAGCAATGTTAAAGATACGGGACAGAATAAGACCAGAAAACCTCTGTTCACACCAGCTGAAAAATCAGAAGCTGTCTTCATAGATCATGTTTTGTTCTATTTGATGATTGGTTCCGAAACAGTTCCCTTTGGCTCCCTTGTTCTCTCACTAACTTAGTATCTCATCATCTTCTTTAGATGGAGTCCTACGTCATTTATTTTTGGTTGAACAAGGCTACTTAGGAGTCCCCTCCTCTTTTGTTCCTTCCCTACTAAGCTCTTGGCAGTCCAGAGTTTTTCTTCTGCAGCCAATACCTTAGCTAATCTGTTCAGCGGCCTAAGAATCTAGAAACAATGAGACTATTTAAAAACCTCCCAGCCTCCTTCCAGTAAACACTGAAGGTGTTTACACTGGAAAAGGTTCTGGGTTATCAACCTGGGATGGTATAATTCTCGATTGCTTTCAGCTCTCCTGTGGGGGAAGCCTTGGACGCTGTGTGAGGCGGAGAAAACAGTCACATCTTGAAGTACCTTGTACATGTACATGTACCTGTACCCAGCAGGGAACATGTTTTAAGCTGTGAAAGGGGATCTGAAATGATGAGGAAAAGGAGGTAGTGATTGATGGGCTATTTCTCCACTCCATGTAGTTAGCAGGAAATAACTTTAGCCTCAGCATCTTTCTCTGCAGTCAGGTGGGATTGTGTGATATACCTTCATTTGTGCCTATTTGAAAACCAGCTGACTGTCAGGAGTTTCTAACCTTGTCATCTTGTACCATTTATGTAAAATTATCTGGTCCCTGCCCCTAATGTCAAGCTCTAGGAAGTACTTCAGAGATGGCACAGGGAACATCTTCTAACATTGCTTAAAAATCAAGAAATTTGAAATTCTTTAAATATAATTTTTTTTCCAAAATGCCTCTTACCTCATTCTGTGCCCCAGAGGTCTGAAAGAAAGAAATGAAGTGGTTTCCTAACTTTTGGACACATCTGTGGTTAGCAGTTAAGGTGAAAATCCATTATCTTCCAAATACAACACCCTTTCACCGACCTCTCCATACCCTAGATCCCTTCACATACTATTTTGATGAAACTAGTACTAGTACTATCCAAAGGGATATAAGCATTAGTATTATATAGTGATGAGTTCTAGGAAGCATGGCTTGAATATTTATGTTGATCCTGGGGAAATCAGAATTAAGACAATAAAAGGTGGTAAATGGATAGAAATTTTCTTTTTTAATTTTATTGCAGGATTTTTTAAAAAATACAAGATACTTCTTGTTTCTATTCCTTTGCATTTTCATTTTTTAAAATTATCATTGAGTAGTTGTTCAAATGGTGTTTCAATTCAACAAATCAGTTTGTAAGTACAATGAACCTTTTTTGGTTTGTTTTTGGTATCTGTACTGAGGCTTAAACTCAGGGCTTGAGTGCCTTCCTTAGCTTTTTCGTTCAAGGATGGTGCTATACTATATGAGCTACAAATCTGCTTTCAGTTTTTTGCTGGTTAATTGGAGGTAAGCGTTTCATGGATTTTCCTGTCTAAGATGGCTTCAAGTGCCATCCTCAGATCTCAGCCTCCTGAGTAACTGGTATTATAGGCCAGAGCCGCCAGCACACAGCTACTACAATACATCCTGAGCAAAGACACCCCTTCCATCATTCTCCCCCATCTTTCCCAATCCCAGCCATTCCTTTTAAAATGCAACCAAAGAGAAAATAATCTAAAGGAGTGTTGGCAAAAGAAGATTATTGAATACTACATGATAGTCTGCAGAAGAGAGATGCACTGACGTTTTTCCCTGCAGCATAGAAAACCAGAGAACACTGTATTTTTTTTCTCATTTATTTATTTGTGTATCTTGATGCCAGGGATCAAATCCAGGGCCTTGCACATGCTATGCTTATACTCTATCACTGAGCTATACTCCTTAGCACACTGATTTTGAATATGACTATATGCTAATAGTAGAATTCTCTCTATTTATTGTGGAGACCTGAAGTCCATTTCTCCTTCCAATTCTGTTCCTGGACTAGAAGGTATGAATGATGATCCTCAAATTTAGATACAAAGAGAAGGAAAATTGGGGTTTGATGAATGGAAGACATAAAGAAAAAAGAGAAATATAACAGGAACACATAAAAAGGGGTTGATCTTTGATAGTCACATTGCTTTAATTTCATATGCTAATGAGATTTTTGGGTCATTTTTAGGTCTTGAATATCACCATGGCCAAGCCTTATGAATTCAACTGGCAGAAGGAAGTCCCTTCCTTTTTGCAAGAAGGAGCAGTTTTTGACAGATATGAAGAGGTAAAGTAGTGTGATTATCCTTCCTCTCAAAATGGTCTAATAATTATGTAATTTTAATCACAGTGTTGAGTAAATATTCTTTGACACAAATAACCATATCTTTGAGCTTTCTGAGTTGGAACAGCTAAGAGATGTGAAGCTATGAGGTAGAATAACAATGATGTTATAATTTGTTGCACGCTGGCTGTGGCCAGATATAATAATGACAATGGTAGTGTGATTTATTGCATGCACATCATGTGCCAAATTACCTTCTAAGTACTTTGTGTGTGTTATTTGTTTAATTTCTCCCAACAAACTCCTTATAAGGCTGTTGCTACTGTTATTATGGTTTTCCAGATGGGTTTTGTGTAGTAAGTTTTTGCTTCAGGAAGTTCTCTTGGCAGCCTTTCCACAAAAAATTTTCCATTTGTTATAAATGTGATGGTGCTTAGACTTGGTGTTAGTCCTTCGTGCTAGCTCATCTCCTTTGTGCAGGTCTGTTTGACTAAGGATCACCTGTTTCTTCTTCTATCATTTATGGTCTGTTCAAGGTGATAACATAACAGCTACCAGGCAGGTGCTTTGGGGTGCCAAACTGTTCAGAAAGGCTAAGTAGGTACACCCTAGACATATATTTTCTTTGATTATAGGTGAATTTGAGGTGACATATTATGGAAGCGTGTGTTGAGAAATAGGCATTGCTTCTAAGGCATAGTAAAAGGTAAAATGTCACTTCAAGCGAGAGAATTCGGTGTGGTAGGTAGTTAGTCTGCCTCCCTTGGGTTCAGACTTTCCACAGGAGCTTCTATGGAACCATGCGACTTGCTTCTTCCAATATATGCCATAGTGCTTCCAGAATTTATATGATAGATGCTTCTTAACTAAACAGTATTGCAATGGCAAATTAGGAGATAAGCTGTGGTCAAATATGGAAATGACATCTATTTGTATGTCTGAATAGAAAGTAAACAGCTTACTTCACTCTGCTCTACGGAAAAAAATGTATCCTACCACCTACGGCCAAACAGGCCATTTTTAATTTTTAACAGTTTTCTTCTATGTTTTCTTAATTTCTATTTCCTCCCTTTTCTTTCACACAGTTGTGGTCACAGAATAATATCTCAGGAATATAAATCAAATATTGGCTCTCCTCTATTAAAAAAAAAGTTTCCAGGGGCTGGGAACGTAGCTCAAGTGGTAGATTGCTTGCCTAGCATGCATTAAACCCTGGGTTCGATTCTTTAGTACCACATAAACAGAAGTTGCACTGGACTCAAATGGTAGAGGGCTAGCCTTGAGCAAAAAGTAGCTCAGGGACAATGCCCAGGCCCTGAGTTCAGGCCCCAGGACTAGCAAAAATAGGCTTTCATGATCCCCCACTATAGGATAAAGAATGTTCTTCAGAATAAAATATTAATTACACCGGTTTCTACACCCATTTTCTGTGTGGGAAACTATATAGCTGTAGCAAAGCACTTACAATTTGTTTCTAAGCTCTTATAATACACAACATGTACTTTCCAATCTTTCTATTTGTTTCTATTTGTTTCTGTCTTTTTACCAGTAAATTTTTACATGTCCTTCAGAACCCAGATGAAAAATCTTTGGAGGTATCTTCCTTGACCAGTAGCGCAAGAAAAAATCCATTTGTCCTACCACTAAAGTACGCCCGGATATATTCTACTGCTTTCATATTTCATTTCATGTTTCTGCCTCTCCTGCAATATTCTGAGTTTGTGAGTCAAGGACTATATTTTATTTTCATTTCTTTCCCCAGGAATCACTTGAATGCCTATAACTCCCAAACTTATATGTAGTTGTTGTAGTTGTCTGGTATCAAAAAGAAATTTATATACAATCATAGGTTTTGTTTTCTATACATTCAGGTTTGTTGCTTCTCTCTCTCTCTTTCTCTCTCTGTCTCTGTCTCTGTCTCTCTGTCTCTCTCTCTCTGCTGGACTTTATAATCCTAGGACCTATGTTTACAAACCAAGCACAAAATCAATTAGCTACACTCCATTTTCCTGGTAATTACAATGGTGAGAAGGCTTGATAACCTTTATTTTATTAAAATGTCCCATTTTTTCTTTTTAAATTACCTTTATGTAGTCGTATAATTCAACATGTCAGTTTATGAATACAGCATTTCTTGATCAATCTCATCCCTTCCATCTTTCTTCCCCATCTCTCTCAACACCACACATCTCCTCAATTTTCCTAGCTCTATGTGCACATATGTACATTCAATATTATAACTGTATTCACCCAGCCTTTCTTCAATCTTCTGTCCATCTTCCCTTGATTCCCTTGTATGACAAAATTGTAGAACTTGATAATACTTGAGATCCATGTGGGGATCTGAGGTTCAGCAGATTCAAAGGAAAATCTGTACAAAATACTTTTAAAAAGTTATTCCTATAAAGGCTGGAGGTATGACTCAAGTGATAGAGTGCCTGCCCAGCAAGTATAAGGTCTGGAGTTCAAACCCTGGATTTAGAAAAACAAGACAACACAATCTTATTTTTGCATATTTCATAGCTAATAGGCAGTAACTTATTAGACTATCTACATTCACTTTGAATAGCTTACCATAGAAGGTCAAGGGCTAACTCAGAAGCATGTTCAAGTCTTTCTCCCAGATAAGCTGGTCTTGGCTATGTCCACCCTGATGACAGTAGAGTGAAGAAAGATATCTTTCTCTCCATTGTAAGGCCCCATCAAAAAGGCAAGTTAACAAGAAAGAAAGCATACAGATTTGTGTGATAGAGGTTTCTAGGTGACATAGGAACCCTCAGAGGTAAAAACTCAAAGAAACTGGGGCAGGTAGGTATTCTTATACATTCATCCTCATCCCCTTGACAAAAGAGATGGGTATGATGATTTAAGAGCACACTGGGGGACTTAGCAAGCAAAGCTGATTGTTCAGATTTTTCTCTGGGTCCCTGTATCTTCAACGATAAAGACATTGCATTCTTCCGGTTGGTTAGAGGATCTCCCTAGAATGAAAGTTTTCAGATCTACTTCAGGAGAAGTCAGCTGGGTTTTTATGGCCTACTTGAGGGGACGAGGGGAAAGGGAGTATGGCCTTACTGTTGCTGCTATTTCCTTCAATGACCAGTAGCCATATTTTGGAAGGTAGTGTGTCCTGAATGCCAGCAATACAATTGCCCTTTACACTGATCCATGTGAGACATCTCTCCCTAGTCTCTGAGAATGACCCAAAAGATGGGCAGTTTTCTAAGACAATATTCCTGGCTTTGACAGGGAAAAGAAGATTAATTCAGAGGTCATTTAGAAGATCACTGGCTGAGTATCTCTTCCACTGTCATGCAAGCAAGCATACACATGAGAAGAAATACCTTTCTTTGTACATACGTGAAATATGATTTGATGAATTGGAGATTTCTCTTCATTTGAATCATTTGTATTTCTTGGGATGTTTTTCTTTGGTTATGATCCACTACAACTATTTAGAAAATACTGGCCACTTGTGCTTCTGAAAGTATTTACTCCTCTGCCAATTCCCTCTGAAAACATGGTTAAGCCAGAAGAAAAGGAACCTTGGAACACATTAAATACAAACCAGCTAAGCTTGCATCTTTCTGGATTGCTACTACACTAGGATTTGAAGCAAAAAAAATTAACTTTAAAAAACAGACACGTCTCTCCCTAATAACATACCAAACCAGAAAAAAAGCCAAATAATACTTCAAGCTGGGTGACAGCCAGTTTTTCATATCACTTTCCAGTTCTATAAGATGAGATTTTTCTGAACAGCCGTTAAAATATTCACTTGTAAAAATGTAAGCAGAACAGTTTTGTTTCTACAGTTTGTGCATAAATAACAGAGATGACAGCAGATAGACAGCGCCGGGGGGGGGGGGGGGGGGGGGGAGGGAAGGGAATTAGAGAAAACAAAGTCCAAGCATTCCAGAAGTGTCATAGCAAAGGGCTGATCCAGTGAAGGTTCATAAATGCTCTCAGTACCACAAAATGACTAATGTTATCCTGGTGACCTTAAATTATGTCCAGAATATTAATATAAAGAAAGCAAAGAAGCCAGAGACTGGTGGCTCACGCTTGTAATCCTACATACTTAAGAGGCTGAGATCTGAGGATCATAGTTGAAGCCAGCCTGTGTAGATAAATCCCCAACTCTTCTCTCCAATTAACTAGCAAAATAATGGGAACTGGAGGTGTGGCTCTGATGACAGAGCATAATCCATGAATAAAAAAAGCTTAGAGAGAGTTTGAGACCCTGAATTCAAACACTGGCACAAGTCCTGTAGGGGTAGGGAAGGGAGAGGAGAAGGGATAGGGAGAGGAGAGGAGAAGAAGGGAGGGGAGGAGAGGAGAGGACAGGAGAGAAGAGGGAGACTTTTGAGCTGTGGCGGAGGACTCAGGTCAAGGGGAAACATTTAGTAGCTACTGCTTTTAAAACATACTTCTTGTGTCAGTGTAAATTTTGAACTTAAGCATCATTTTGTTACTTCTGCATTCATAGGATTTCTTTCACAGCAACCCAAATTTCAGAGCCTGGGTATAGCATAGCTTTTGTTTTGGATCTAATTTTATTGCCATACCATATCCAAATCTGCTTTTCCTAACTCTGCTTGACTTATAAGTTTGTGCAAACAGTATTTTGTTCTCTAAGTGATACTTCATATTAAATCTCTACAATAAGAAATTCTGTTTTACAGACTAGAGAAACTGTAGTGCTTTCGCAAACATATACAACTCAAATATCACGGTGGGCATCTCTCGACTTGCCTTTGGTAACTAACCATGTCATAGGAGCAATGACACTGTCGTCTGACAATTTGGCTCTTCTTAGTTTTCTCTCACATTCCTCAGGACTCTCACTTTCTTGGAAGAATCCTCCTAGCCTCCAGTCCCTTGTTACCCCTACTTTCCATCCTTGATGCCTGGTCTAAGTTGTTTGTTTCCCTTAGGAAATTTACCACATCATCAGATCTCTTAGCCCAATGATGTATGAAATAGACATATTGAAGATTTTG